AAAGTTGAAGTTGCACATTTTCAGTAATTAAAATTAGAATTTAATGGATAAATGTTATAAAATGTTTTTGCACTGTTTTACATTGTTTAAAAAAGTCAGGTAAATTTTTAATTTCAATTGAGTAGTTAATTGGTACAAATTACAAATTAATTGTCATTTAATCATGAATTACTGAGCTCATAATTAGTTCTGTTAAGCAACAGAAGTATGAGCACTTTGCCCTGGAGATGGAGGTGATGGATTCCTCTGATTTGTTAGTAACCAACTACAAAACACGCTGCATCCCAAACCAGAAGACCGTATTCGAGTATTCATCATCATGAAAACCTTAACTGTATACGCTTCATTGACGTTGAATTAACCGGTGGTAAACTTGCTTTTATGATCATGCCAAAATTTTATGGTCCCTTGAATTACCACTGACCGTGCTGTCTTCCTTGAAACAGCGTTGGCCAGCAGTCGATGTGTTTACCAGGTGCGCTACTAATCGCTCTGCGTGCGATGCTAGACACACTAGCAAGCTTACAACTGCACGCTCTGATGTTAGGGGCTCAAATGAAGAGTTCTGCATTCTTACGCCCAAGCTGGGCTTCCTATGTTGCGCACGTGCAAGGACGAGGATCGTTTAATTCTGGCACTAGCGTAGATGCAACTGAAACTCAGATGGCAAAGGAAATGATGTTTGTTCTTTGGTTTTACGGCAAATGAGGAACTGCTTTGTTTAAAACTGGGATTCATGCACGAGTGACAGTTTTTAATATTTTAACGCAACTGAATGTGTTGCGTATATCAGAAATCGTCACTCCTTTAATCTGTGCAGCTACAGGAGATAAATTGGTTGATTTATGTTCGCACTCCCTACATTACTCTGTAAGCTACAGTGACTAAAATGTTTGTTAAAATTGATTTTAAAAAAAAAATTTAACTCCAGACTTTTATGTCATCGACGTCATTTATCCTTTTTCTGAGACAAAAAATTAGAAAGTGTATATAAAGTTAACATGTTTGCAAAATATAAGGTATATATGTTGTGTATCATGTTATGAATACAGACTCGAACATAACAGAAGATCATGAAGTATGCGAGACTTAAGGAAGAAAACCATGAGGAATTTATGTATTATAGTATTGAAATTATTATAGCTAAAATATATACTTATATATTTTTATATCAGTGATTCATGTGCCATTTACTTTACTAAGATTAAGATTTAATAACAACTTTTAGTGAACTAAAGAAACAGGTGAAGACTATATGGTCACAGATCCCCTTATTATTAATTGTTACTTAAGTGGGGAGAGGTTCCCGGATAACAAATCGTGGAAAACAGACGTTTAATAACCGGGCTATGGTTTTCTTACGCATTGTAATGTAGATGGCTTATCTGGAAAGCTGGAAGTAATTAATTTTTTAATTTTATAATATTAGATGCAAGTATCTTTGACATACGCAAATCAAGTTATGTGGCCAGTTACTTAAAGTCACTAGTGTTACAAGATCAGTGACCCTACTTTGGTGAGGAGTCCTAAAATATTCACGCTGACAGCACTTGAAGAAACATTTTCAAAATAATTTATCGTGTATTAAATGTTATTCTGTGAAGACGTAAGTGAAATGAATAGGTTCATTAAGATACGCAAAAGTTCTCACATAAAGCTGCTCTGTATACAAAGAAAGAATAATATAATTTGCCCCTGCGTTGTGTCTTTTAACTTCTCGGTGTCTGTCGGTGTTTTATAAAATTCTTGTGGGTACTTCTTATTAAAATGTATTGACTATATGTGAAAGTGGCCATCGTACGATCGTCACCGATGTTTTACGAAAAGAACTACGCTCTTTAGCATGTATCTCCTTGTATGTTATGTACTAACTTTCATACATTGAGCCATTTTTGAAGAAAAGAAATTTTGTAAAATTATATTTAATAACTCTTCAAATCTCATATGTAATGTGTGCTGATGAATTATTCTGCACAATGCTCCCCCTCCGCGCAGTTATTCAGAGAACGGCATCAAAATTATTGTGCTGCACTTAACAGTGTACGTCCTTTTATTTTCAATTCGTAGTTTAAGCGAAGGTGCCACAAAATATATTTGAGGTACTTGGTCCTGTAACGCTAGATTATTGAACAAAGAAACAGTACTTAATAATCAAAACTTGAATTGCTTATGTCAGTGACCATTCACCGACTTGCGACTTATTACACTTTTGGTTATGTTTAGAGTTGATTGCTGCACCATTGTAAAGGGCGTATAAGAATTAATGATTATTGGTAATAATGTGAACAAATGTTGCAATACTCAATTTTTTTTTTATAACATTAACCATGGACTGTACTCGGATCTACTGTGATGAGTCTGTGTAAAGGCAGCCTTAAGAACAGTGAATAATTAATTTTAATTTTCTATGTTGACCTTAGGTCATGCATAATAAAGAATTATATAAGGGTTCAGAAATTTGGAAATAAACGTGCATTATGATTACCATCCAAAATATAGGTTTTCAGTCTTAACTACAGTTCTGTTTAGATAACTTTTCTCAAGTCACAAATCTCATTTACTCAGCAAGAACAATGCATACGTGTTGGTTAAAGTATTTGTTTCTCAGTTACGTAATTTTCTCGCCGTCTACGAGCCTCGTGAGAAATGGTTTTAAAACAGAATTTTATTAGATGTTTCATTTTTAATATTTTAATTTCTTATGGTCTCCTGTTGTGTTTATTTTAACAGTATAAATCTTCAACAGCAATGGTGAAATATTTATTTGGAAAACAAAAATTCCTGTTGATTTCAGATTTTTTCTCCTCTCCCCAGAAAACCTCCTTTCTCTAGAGTCTAGACAGTAATAGTAGTTAAGATGTAATGAATCTTTGGATGGCAATGAAAGTGTGAATGTTGGTTAATTATAATAATATTATATGTCTAATGATGTATTGTAAGTGTATGTCTTACTGTCATCCTGCAATATATACTTGTGTTTGAGAAGTTTTATGTTAACTGATGAGCGGAACTGGAGCAACCGTGATTTAAAGCATTGATACCAACATTGTAGTGTACAGGTTAGGTTCATTTGTGTTTGCTGTTAATGGGAATTTTACTTTAATCCTACCAAAACTTATCAATCCTAGTTTGAAGGTTAGTTTTTTAATTTTATTATTTGTCTAGGTGTTCTTGAAACCACAACATTTTAGAATTTGTTTCTGTTTGGCTCCCTGCCTAGTAGATGTGGCTTTTGCCTTCCTTTCACCTGAAGACAAAAGTATAAAAACACCTAGGTGATGGATGAAGGCGCAAATGCTATTTTCTTGGAGTCTTGCGCTAACAGCAAAGGAACAAAGAATCTGAGAATGTGTTGATCTTTGTAGTAAAATATTTTATTTAAGATCAGCCTCGTGTGCGTACAGAACTGTACTCGTCTAACTGCTCCAGGTCTGTTCTCGAGTCTTGAACATACCAGAGACCTCTGATTTGTTTATTGTCCTCATGTCCTCAGCCATGTAGTGGTACATAGTAAGGAGTAGGACTGTAATAATTGCTGATGCACTGCGCCTGGACATTTTAAAGAACATTCTTTAGTGCATGTTGTGACATAACCTCACTTTTCCCTACCTCATACTTTCAATATTCCAGAAAAATCTCTTACATGTAGAATAACATCGGTGGATAATATTAAGTAGTATCTAGTGAAATTGGTCGTGAAAATGTAAACTGGGATCAGAATGAGATCCAATACTTCATTTAGATATTCGTACCTATAAAAAAAGTGGTTAGTTGACGTGACTAATTTTTAGGCCCTGGTTTATAAACTAACTGGGAAATTGAAAATATTATAACATTGACACATTTAAATATTCTCCCAGCTGCCAAGCGATCCCTTCCTTGTGAGGTTTTTGGGTCAAAATCTTATCTTCACCATTGCCTCTATGTATCTGATACTTTATAATAAGTAATATTACCTTTTAAAGCCATCCACAGGTATACAACAACAGAAACAGTGCTAGGGAAGACAGGTATGTAACAAAGCGTACAAATTATGAATCTTCTCGTTATGTGATATTTTCTTTCTTACTTCCTCACCCTTTGGTTCAAGTATTCTCCTTAACACTTTGTTTTCAATCACAGTTTTTTCTCTCTCTCTCTTCCCGTCTTAAGCGGAGCGCAGTCACACCCATGCAATTTAACAGGTAAAGTAATTTGTTGTATATTTTAATGTTTAAGGTTTTTTGATACAGCATGATAGAATTTAATCTGGTTTTAATTTGAAGATGGCTGTCCTCTGGGTTGTAATCTGGTAGAGGTTTACCAATGTTTGAGGTCCTTGCTGATTCCGTCATTAGCCGAAATGTTAGTAAATTTCTGACTTGCTGAAACTATAACGCAGAGAACCTCAAATCTTGCAGGTTTTAATTTAATAATAAATGTAATTTTTATTTCTTGCTCTTTCCCCTAATTAGCTGCTAAAGATGTATTAGGTATTTCATTACCTTAATTGAATGAGGAAATAAGTATATGTGATCACCATCATATCTGGCTGATGTAACTTCGAGATCTGTTCTTAAATAATGCTTGTCCCAAGTTTTTTTTTATTCTGAACATAGGTTAAATTAGTAATGCTTGTTTACTTGAATATTAATGAATTGGTAATTGCGCTCGTTATTTTAAAACTGATGAAATGACTTTATTTTACGGTAAGAGATTTGAGTTGCCATATTTCCTCATTTACCCACAATGCTACATGTTAACTACTTCATTGCATGTATTGTGGCTTTCTCCTCGTTTTTCGGAGTATATGCCTATTTTAATGAGTTCGATACGTATCAAATTCAAGTAACATTAACATTGTAACAGTAATTTAATATTGACGAAGTAGTGTGGTTTTTAGTTATATACGTTTATAATAATTTATCGGGAGGAAACAGCCTCTTTTAATAAGAGTGCCGATTTTATTTTATTTTCATACTGGATTACGTTGTGTCTAGTAGGGTGAGAGGGGAACAGTTCATGACTAGATAATGCAGTGCACGCTTGAATAGTGAGGTTGGGGGTGAATTAAGTTGGAAGGGTTGAGTTTTTAGATTAGTAAACTAGAAGATAAGACCTGTTTGCAGTGGCAGGTTAGTGGTTTATGTAAAGTAGCTGTGAATATTTTTCCATGCAAGGTGTGTGGCTGTTCTGATAATCTAATTTGAATTCCGTTTTTAAATATGGCATGACTTCGCTTTTACACCGTAGCCACCTGTAGACTTCCAGGCGTACTTATTCAGTTTTACGCAGCTTTATAGTTGATTGTGATTCTATACGTGGTCAACAAAAACCCCGAAATTAATACCTGAATTGATTCGGTATAATTTTCATCGATGATGGTGTTTGTGTCTAGTGTTTATTCAGTACAGCTTCGGGTCGAAAATGAGTGATATACTGTTGGGTAAAAGGTTATGTTTTGTGAGTGATGTGAACCAGTAACTGACGTTATTATCGCATGTATTTGCTGGCTGTCACGTAAAGGATTTGCCATTCGCATTACGGAGCTTCAAGTGGAAGAGATGTTTTTACAAGGACCGGCTGTCATCATGGTGACGGTATTGCGGAGGAATAAGAAGGTAAGCCCACCGTTGTTACCATCCTAGATTAGAAGGGAAACTATGTTGACATTTCTTGGATGTTAACCGTGAAATGCTTCTGACAATGATAGGGAAGGGCGATAAATGTTTTATTAATCATAAACCTGCGCAGTTTAGGATGTGCAGTGCGTAATTTTACATGTCTCCTGGACTTGGTGAAACAAGCCGGCATACTGCCAACAGAAAATTGTTACACCTTTCTCTCATTACTAAGATCAATATATTATTCTATCAACTATAAACAAATTTTCTGATTCAAATGCACTTCGATGTTCTATACTTACGTAAATTTCGATTAAGTTTTGTTTCTGTGCCGCATAGCCTATAGAAGTACACAAATGAGTCATGTTGCCGCGAACGCGTTCATTTGGGGGCATACAACATTTTACTAAAGTCTGTCAGTTGGTTTAAAATCCATCCGGTGAAAACAAACATATTTTACCTTGTAAAATAAGGAAAATGTGTTACAAAACGAAGCATCAGCATAACAAATTTAAAGTATATATACATATATTACATACAAATGACTAATACATCACTCAATTTTTAATTATCACTTATATAAGGACAAGTATCTCATAATTAACCACGACAGCCATCGAAAAAAAAATCATCCCATATTGGTATCGGTAAGGATTTCGCTGTTCACACGCATTTATCACATTGTTCCGTATAGGCCCTGTAAATTACTCTATAATTAACATTAATTAACTCGTTTGAGGAAGAGTCCTTGAGAAAATGATGGTCCTTCATCTGGTCAAGAAATTTCTCGTCATTTATGGAATCAGAAGTTCCATTGCCGTGTTTACAAGAGCCCGACATCGGTCCATATTCTTATCCGATGAATCCAATCCACATCATCATATATTCCCTCCCATCTACGATTAGGTCTCCCAAGTGGGCTTTTTCATCAGGTTTTCCGAATTAAATTTGGTATGCAGTAACATTTTCCATCTGAAAGTTTCTTCACGACGAATTCAGAAGATAACGAGTGTGGCGAAGCCAAGGCAATTTCACAGTCATCGGAGGAAACCGAAACAAATCGAAAGATTTTGCGAGTCAACCAATGCAAGGAGCTACGTTCGAAAAGCAACAACACTTCTATTGTACGGCGCCGGTAAATTCAAATCAAGGCAAACGTTCTTAATCAGAATATGCCGAGGGATGATCCTGTAGACATTGTGGAAGTTCGGGAACCGTGACCTTTGTAGACGGAGGATCCTCCGAACTGGTGATGGTGAGATGTTGACTGTTGGACAGACTGCTCTGTCTGCAGACTACTTCCAGACAACAGAGTTTCTCCAGACCCACTACCCCCCAGCATTCTGGAAAGAAATTTTCAGCAAATAAGTGATACGCCGACATATTGAGAAGTTGGTGGCAAGCTACCTGAGTCAAATTTCTAATTGGCACCTCGCTCACAAATTAAAAAGAAATAAACTGCAGTACCATTTCTACAAGTATAAATGTTAAGAAGATGGCTGTCTTTAGGTTGTTGCGCCATGTAGCCTGGTAGAAGTTTACCGACGTTTCAGAGGACTTTACTGCCTCCATGATCAGGGTGGAAACCATTCGAAAATAAAATTGAAACACAGATACATCTTGTTTATAACCAATGTAATGAATTATATTTTATTATATGATAAGGTTTTTTGTGAAATCCGATGATGATCAGTTTGAACTTACGTGTTATGTTGTATCGACACGGAATAAAATTAAGGAACCCCCCCCCCCTCCAAATGCAAATTTCGTTTCGTTCTAACGTCATAACATATTTTAAACCGGTTATCTCGCAATACAGATTACTCGTTTTGATCCATATCTGGATGTTAGTGCTTACGCCCTTTTCTTACTCACTAGTGGATTTACGATTGTTATTCAAATCAGGATGACGTGGTTTGATTACCCATAGTTGTCGGTGATTGCCGGAAAGCCGTGGTGACTCCAGTTTGGGTCGCTATTGAATCTACTTCCCCAAACTCCCGCTGCAGCTGTCGGGTCGCAGTGTTGATAGTCCCCATTGACACCGCTAGGTGGTGCTGAATACCCCATTCCGTGACTCATGATGCTGCCATTCCCCTGCGTCGTGCTGATAGATGGCATTGATAGTAATGTCGTGGCTGTCGCAGCTGGCGTCGTCGCTTGGTCCAACATTTGAGACGTCGGCAAGGCGATATTTGGCTGTTGTAGGCTATTAGTGGTGACGTGGGACTGTTGCATGAGGGCAGAATAGTTGGCGAGCTGACTTCCGGTTCGGTGCCAGTTTGTACTTCCTGTAAAATTCAATCAAATAACTAATTTAGGATATTTAAAAAAAAAAAGCTAGCGTTAATGCAGAGAAGGTCTGACGCGCTGATGGTTTAATTATGTATACACTGCGTCTTATGTAACCAGCAGCGAAGTTACAATGGACACCTCGCCCTGAGGGTGGAGCACCTTCTCTGTCTTTTGGCAACTCCAATTTAGCAGTAAATGTTCATAATTCTATCTTTTTATTTGTTTCACAGCTATTGATTTTTAATACAATTGTCCGTAGAATATGTTTTATCAACTCTTACAGTCTTATTACTCTAGCCTTCCGCAGATTACCTAATAACACTAAATACCTTTGTATTGTTAACTGCTGTCCAGGACTTCACTTTGCGTCTCTGAAAGGCGAGCTAATCACAGTTCTGAATTCCGAACAGGGGTTGTGGATTTTATAAATTAAAACAAGCAATTTTGTGTAGAGTAGAATGTCATACGGCCTACGCAGACTTTACTTCTACAAATCTTGTGTCGTTAGGATTATCACAGGCTGTTTAAGTGGGGCTAATGTAAATCATTTCTTCCCTTCACTTAACATATGTAATCTGGCCTGTTTCAATTTAGAATTTACTTCTGAATTTATGAATCTGTTTAGATATTTGGTAGGACAGGAAAAACGAACCCTGGATCCCTGTGTTCGAAGGTGCAAAAGCCGCGCTCAGAGTCAGTCATTCCGCTGACAGTCAGGACAGTCGATCGAGAAGTTATTTGAACCCGGGACTTTCAGAGTTAAAGAGGGAAACGTTGACCACAATCCGCAATGTTCTGTGTTTTGTTTTTATTTGTCGTGGTTCTGTTGTTTCAGAAATACAGAACCATATTAGATGCTAACCCTGTCTAGAGTTGTAGCCTACCTGAATTATGATGGAGTGCCATGACATCACAGCTAGTGGACGGGTACTGGTAGCTAGGCACTGCTGACAACGGGCTGAACGACGTCCCTCCAGTGTGTTTCCGCCATCTCGCACGTCGGTTACTGAACCATACCTGCTAGAACAGCCGAGAATCTTGGATAGAAACAGTGATTTTGTCTCTGATACAACAGTTATTGCTTCATAGTATTCCTATGTGCCTTGCCGGCTGGTAAAACTAGGCCTGGACTTCATTCACGATGTCTGTAGGGTAGAGGTTCCCAAAACTTTTATACCTTGAGCCCCCCTTAAAACATTTCATAAATTTCACGTCCCCCCCTTCCAGAACAAATGCAAGCGAACGGATTTGATATAAAATTTAGCTATGAGTATACATTTTTTTATAATTTAGTATATATTATTAAAGTAAAGATAAGCCGGGATAGCTCAGTCAGTATAGTGACTGGACGACCGGGGTTCGATCCCCGACGGGGGCAGAGGATTTTTCCTCTAGCCTCTGCGTCCAGACCGGCTCTGGAGCCCACCCAGCCTCCTCTACAATGGGTACCGGGGGTCCTTTCCCGGGGGTAAAGCCGGCCGGGGCGTGATGCAGACCACTCACCCCCATCTAGTGCCGAGGTCAAGGAAGAGAGGAGCTATACCTCCTCTCACCCCAAACGCCTACATGGCGTATAGTGGGACAAACTTTACTTTTTTTTAGTATATATTATTCAATGCATTTAATTTAAAAACTGTAATAAAATATAGGCTTCATACCTGGATTAGTGGGATGGATGTTTTGAAATGACCGCTCTAAGGTCGTTTTCCAGGTTCATCGTAGAACGATACTTTGTTTTGATGGCAGCTACTGCTGAAAATCCAGTCTCGCACAGATAGGACGTCGCTAAAGGAAGGAGGATGTTCAGAGCTTTCCTGATGACGTAAGGGAACTCCCATCCAGTGCCCACCCAAAATTCTATGTACGAATTCGTAGGAAACTGAACTTTAAAGATGTATCAGATATAACGTCAATATAGTTTTTGTCTTCTGTAAGAGAAAGGTCGTAATTTTGAGGCGAATCAGCATGGAATGGATCCGTGATCCATTTGTATTTGTCACTTACTGCTTCTACTTAGAAAACCTGGACTGCAGATTAACCAAGTGAAAAAAGTTTTTCATACAAACAACACCCCCCCCAGAAAACCACCCCCCAGGGGGGCGCGCCCCACACTTTGGGAACCTCTGCTGTAGGGTGTAAATATGGCGGGCAGTGAGCGACAGAATTTTGGCCTCCCATTCGCTTACATCCATAGATGTTCAGGGAATTGCAGACCATATAATGTCTCTAATGGAGCAAAATAACATACTACCTTGAAGATGGGAGCAGTATGTTTACTCGAAACGTTGGTAATCATTTTAAGGCTTACAGTGTGAACTTTAATGGACGTGAAGACAAGTCTCACACCATGGAAATGCCGAAATGTATTAAATCCATAAACGATAAAATCCCACTAAATCTCGGGCGTAACTGTCTACCTGCGCTGCTCATAACTTAGACAGAAAAACGTGACTGCTACTGCTGGAATTCACCTGTATTCTAGCCTCTGTGAGCCCAGTGCGCTGAGCAAGTTCCTCGCGGGTGTAGACGTCTGGGTACTGCGTCCTCTGGAACGCGCGCTCCAACTCCTCCAGCTGGTCTCCAGAGAACGTCGTCCGGCTCCGACGCTGCTTTCTCTTCAGGGGGATCCCTGGTTCGGACTCCGTGTCTGACTCTTCACCGCAGCGACCTATAAACATAATGTTGAAAGGAATCTTTGGGAAATAGAACGTGGAAAGATAAACTGGGATGAAGGAACTCAGGACGGAGCCGAATATAGAGTTTTGTGTATACAGTAATGAACCTTCGGTTTGTATTTTTTCACAAGCTTGAAACAAACGCCGAACCGAGTTTTCTGCATAATGTCTTCAACTGTGGTTGATTGAGGCAGCAGAGTGTTACATGTTGCATGTGTGTGGGCTGTGAGCAAGTGATAAATGGAATGTTCTGTCAAACCGCGGGGAACCAATGTCTACAAGAGGGGTATGTAATATCTTTTGACAAGTGGTCCGCCGGCAAGATTTAGAGGGTGAGAGTTACATGCGAAAGCCAGAGGAAAGTCGTCCTTCTTGTATAGGCCCCATAACACGAAGACGGCACTCGACCTTTAAATGAATCTTTTTTCTTCCTTTTGGACGTGAGTGTATCGCATTGCCTTTCCTCCCACACACGTTAACATAGGTCCTTTATACTCTTAACACACGGTAACTTTAGACTTGTTAATCATTCATTTAAACTTCAATTGATTTGAAATCAACTTTTATTTTTTTATTTTTTTGGCCTGTGTTTCTAACATGGTAGACGTTTCGATAATATCGGTCACCATTTATTTTTGGGAGTAATAAGTTCATAAATTTACTAGCATCTGTGTGATCCAAATGTTTCAAAAACTAATATCCATTCCTTGTAGTCAGTAGAAATTAATTTGTTTAAAATCACGAATTTGAAACCTTTATTTCAAATTTCTCTGATTTTCTGACGGAAAATCATTGCTTATAAATATTAAAATATTCGAGAGGTCAGCAGCGGCCTTCGACGCTGTATAATCTTATCGATTGAAGGCGTCGTCAAACAAACAACAAATCAAGTAGGGAAAAAGTCACTATCTTCGCAGTTTTTGTTGTTCTGTGGTAAGTGAGGCGGTCTACATTACCGACCGGTCGACACGATTAATGAGGGAGGTTTGGAGGAGTGATACCTGCAAAGACACCGCACATCTGCTAGACAGACGGACACGTGCTGGAATGTCTGAGAGAGAGAGAGAGAGAGGGAGAGTCCAGTCCATGGGCGTGAACATCATTACCATAATAAACTGGCAGTAATTACGAGTGGAGATTTAACGTGCTCTTCAGCGTCTTCGTACTGCAGGAAGCCACGATGCAGCAAAAATGATAATAATTAATACCCCATGGCACACCGAGTCACGTATTACTTAAAGTGACATGTATGTAGGCGTATGGCTAAATTGTTTATCGTAATTCTTTATACTTTGCTGTCATTTTAATTTCTGAATATCAAACAGTGGGCAGATGGCACAAGGGATAGCAGAAAATAAGTTGAAAGGAAAACGTTTCAATTATTATGACCGGTGCAGACCAAGAACTTAGGGTAATCAGTGATGAAGGTTATGAGAATATTTGAACAGATTAACATTTGATTGGAATGAGCTATAAATGACAATAGTGACTGGCTCAACGAGAGCTTATATATTCTTGAACAGCTGATATTTGCTCAGCTGGTCAAGCAACTCACCGTCTTTTTAAGCTTCATTACCGTGTTCACCGGGATAGTTCAGTCAGTATAGTGACTGGAAGATCGGGGTTCGATCCCCGACGGGGGAAGAGGATTTTTCCTCTAGCCTCTGCGTCCAGACCGGCTCTGGGGCCCACCCAGCCTCCTGTCCAATGGGTACCGGGGTCCATTCCCGGGGGTAAAGCCGGCCGGGGCGTGATGCTGACCACTCACCCCCATCTAGTGCCAAGTTTAAGAACGATTAGGAGCTACACAACCTCCCCCCCAAGCGCCTACATGGCGTATAGTGGGACAGCTTTACTTTACTTTTACCGTGTTCACAACAGACCGCCCAGTACGAGGCCCTGAGTAGCATTTCATAACTTCCGGTTTCTCTTCGTACATGTCTTCATCATTTGCTTGTTTCTGTTTACCAGTCGACGAGTATTAAGAGACAGTCTTATGTGATGTTGATTCGTGTAGTCTGATCGAACTAACCGATGATTTCATCACCCTGATTATGGAGGCAGTAAGCACTTGCGTAACGTTTGTCAATTTCTACGACACTACACGCCGCAACCGAAATACATCTTAATACTTATTCATATTTTGTTTAAAGTTTTATAAAATTGATGGGAAGATTATTTTTTAGTTGGTTAAACTAATAACATCTCTTGAATTTAATTTCAATGAACGTCATTTATTAAAAATATATTAAAATTAGCCGTCAATCACAATATAATATTATTAAAAGATTAAAATATCTTTTTACGTTCCCTATCGAGTACTCGATTTACATGTGGAACATACACTACATGTTTCGGCTATATATAGCCATCATCAGGTGTTATGTATTTAAACTTTTCACTGAATTACTGATTTTTTACTGATATTTAATGATTTTTAGTCTTCATTTTTCTTATGATGTTCTAGTCCTTTATATTGTTTCTTCATTCGTTGTAGTATCACAGGTCACTAATATGTTTGTATAAATCACAATATGACGCATCTACAATATCTTATAAAGAACGTCATTTAACTGTCTACAAGATTTCACAGCGTCGTGGTCCAGAATTCTAAGATTTACGCCAATTAAGTCTGTTAGTGTCGTTCTCAAATACTTTACCATGCAGGCCTACTTGACTTTCCGTATTATTTATCAAAACTTCTTCCGCACCGACAGGTTTCTGCAGTATACGTACGTGTGAATGGAATGTCGTGTAAACAATAAAACGGACGGACTCCCTATGCAATGGCAATAATTAGCTCATTCTCTCTGTTATTAAAAACGTAGGCTAGTTATTCTTGTGCATTAGCGACACCTCGACTAAAAAATTTGAACGACGTGACAGGATTAAATTACGAGTTCCACAATTTCAATGTTGTTACCATTAACATTGGCAGACAATCATAAATTGAGAACGATATTATTATTATCTTTCTGCGTTTTCTAACCAAAATGTGTGTGAACCTTTTGTGAACCGAGGGGACACTGTAGACATTGTGGTGTACCTTCCGGGTTACTTTTTGTCTCTGTGGTCAGCTCGGGTTCCATTAGAGACAGAAAATTCCTGGACCAGCTGAGAAATTATCAGCGTCTCTTGAAGGCTCTGCTCCAAGCTTTTGCGCTTAGTTGATCAGTCAGCCAGAAATCATAACCGATCTAATATGAAAACGTATCGTGGACTTTCCCTTTTAACGGAGTAAAAAAAATTTGCGGAACTTTAAACTTGCGTTCATGGGACGAAATGGCAGTGGTGATTTTAAAGACATCGCAAAATTATAATACCCGAAGGAGGTTCCTTAAAATAAAATAAGAGTCCCCCCCCCCCACTCTGGCCCCAAATTTATCCTCGCTAAAATAAATTTCAATACGTGTTTACGGATGTTTTCTTGGCGGGATATTTGTTCTTTTCATTGGCCGCCTTTTGGCACAAGAGAATGGCCTATTGTACATTCATGTTACAAATATACTGGCCACACAAATTCCCTTCATTACTTCAAAAGATACCGCCTCTGTTTAGCCTACGAGGTATTAGCCCCTACGACAAAAGTTAAAATGAAGAAAGCATAGAATAAAAGTTCATTGGTGGTCTCCTCGGGTTACCGACAACTAACTTCTTCCGCCCGTTGAGCTAGGTGTAAGGATTGTTGTGAACAAGTGGGGCGGAGGGGGGGGGGGGAGACCTAAGAGAAGATAAATGTGGCGGACAGGGACAACTGTTTCCCGCCAGGGGGTCATGTCAGGAGGCTGGAGCGGGGGCGGTATCCTTTCACAAGGTGTGTACAGTCTGGTAAAGGCATGATACTTTGACTTTTGACGTCAGCCTCGGTATTTCTTGTGGACGCTGAATAGACAGGCAGGCAGCACCTCCGAAACGTCAGTAATTTCTGAATTTTCGATACGGTGCATTGCTCAGAACATTACAATGTAAGAAAAATTGCCTGTGTTCGTAAGTAGTGGCCGTACGGCCGTGGATTTGTTATGCAGGGCGAAGGGTGAGAGGCTTAAATTCGTAAGACGAGAGGAAGGAGTTCAGAAACGTCGGGACCATTGAAGGCGCCATATATCACATCGGGCCGGCGACTTCTAGTGGTATTACGATGACAAGGGAACATGGCCTCTGAGGCGTAGGTAAAAAATACTATGAAGAATAATCATCACGGCTGAGAGTGACCGCGATTTTTTGTCATGGGTTTTGGTTTTTGGATATGTTACCGAGCTGTATAGATTGGCGTTTTTACGTCACCCTCGGAATTAAACCCTGACTGAGTGATACGTGTTACTCGCCGGACACTAATCCCATGAGATACAGCCTCGCGTAAGCTGTTTTTTTTTGGGGGGGGGGGATTTTTTTGTCATATTTTATACTGCAGAAATAAAATGAAGTGAAGGCCGCTCGGTAAGGATTTATGCTCAGTAGTCTGCCCTTAATATTTCTTTACATTAATGTTTTTAACATTTTTAAATTGACAGTGAGCTCTGTTAGGCAAAACAATCCTATGGTTTTACCCGTATGAAAGACGGAATTTATGCAGATAATATTTGGAGAAAAAAAAACAGATTTCATGTTACGTTTTAACTGGAATGTTAGAAAATTTCAAATTTCAAAATTGTGACATAATGCAGCTGAAAATATGGTAATTAATTACCTTTACAATCACGTCGTTCGAGGGCAGATAGAAGTACTCAGTAAGTAATAAATCTTTTGAGAATCTTTCAAAAACGCGAAAATACAGAAATAGGTATTGAGGGTGGGAGTTGGATGGAACTGGCTCAGGATCGTGTCCAGTGGCGGGGTTTTGGTATTAGCGACTTTGAAACTTTGGGTTCGAGTAAATAATGATAGCAAATAGTAACAGAAAGACACATCAGGAGTGTTGGTCACGTAAGGAAATTCAACCTGTTCCAATGAAATTGCACATTTTGAAACATGAAAAATAAATGATTTTTACTTTTCCGCTACAAAATTTCTGTCAGTGATGAATTAAACAGACGTAAACGTGTCTTCTCTAGTTTAATTTTGTGCCTGGAAGAAAGTCAGTCAGCAGTTTCTCAGTATCTGGCCAGTTTTACTTTCTTCTTTCCTGAAAAAAGCCTGCGAGACAGATTGGAATCTGGAAGGACCACGTGCAGTCCGCTGGTGTTCGGGAACACTCCATTTATTTAATGGCCGGTATATTATTAAAACAGAATCTCATTTCACTTCTGCAGTACATTATTACGAACGTGTGGGAGTGACTTTCCATCTTTGTCATTGCCGACCGCGTGTAACATGAAGAAGAAGGAGAAGAAGAAAAATGAAGAAAGAAAACATAAAGAACGAATAGAAAAATAAGAAATAAAGGTAAAATCACCTTGTCCGACGTTCAAACGGTCCCGCTGTAAAGCCGACGTTTTAAATGTCAGGGCGCTGAATAGGAAAGCCTTTTGAGAGGAGGGAAATGGATAAAGGAGGCTTTTGTGGGGGATGAGTCGTCCTGACATAGTGGGCTCTTGTGGGATTGATAGAGCCCTGTGTTCGAACAACTAAGGCGCAGGATACATTTCTGTCCATATATATTTTCCTTTCTTCTCTTTCCGACAATGCTAATTTTTCGTCCCACTTGTCGGTCCTCCCTTTGAAGTTACAATTCAAACGCCGTCTTCCTTCTCAACTTCAAAATTCTTAATAGCCTATATAAGATACGTAAGATTAAATAAACAGATTTGAACGTGCTTGTGATTAGAAGTTTTGAATAAAATTTTCGTCGTCGAATAATAACACGTTATAGGGAAGAGACGTGTAAAATAGATTAAAACCGCAGAAACTGTTGTGTCCAGCTTCATGCTCCGGTCGGCTTTATCTGTGGAGAAAGAGCTGCAGATAGAAATTGGATAGGAGGTCCCTAGATTCGATCTGTGCCTGAGGCTCTTTGGGCCAGTGCAGTGTATTAATAGAACGTGTACCGTAACACTGAATGTTATGTGATCGGTGGATACTTGATTTGGCTTGCCGTTGCGTAAACCAGACCGTAACGAGTTGAGTCAAAATTAGTATCTTCGTGTCAGAGAAGTGATCTGTCACTTACCTCCGAGAATTCCGTCTATGCTATAATCCTTCTTCAGATCCGATCCGCCCCTCAGAAGGCGACTGATAGACGACACGCTCGGCGCGCTTGCGCTGTCGCAGAGCCCTTCCTGGAAATCAAATTGTTTTATTGACGTTATTAAGAGTTTTTGAGAACTGTATAATATTATTTTAACAAAG